AATAATTAGGCAATAAAGATGATTTTCATTCAGTGCCCATTCCCAGACCACCAGAAAATACTACAAACATCTATCTGAAAAAATAATCTTTAAAACAACAACAAACAAACCAGGTATAAATTTAAGGCAAGACCTCCTGAAGAAAATGATGAAAGTGTTGATGATTTGTTTCTGAGCAAATACAAGAGGATTGCTTTGAGATCCTTTTAGCACTTGGATCTCACCTCAGAACCACATAGGATACACACAGAAATCATGTGTCCTACAACTACTTATTGGTCAATGTCCCAAAGTCAAGGCTTGTTTTAAACATGCCTTTAAAAGGGACCCATTTTACATAATGCTCTTCATAAAAGCAGAAGCTTCTTACCATTGGATTTGAATCTGCTATGAGATCTCGCAGAGAATCCAGGAATCCCTGATCTTCTACCATTTGGGCATTGATATCATGGAGCTTTGCTACACAGACTGCCGCTGTTTTGCGAACATAGGGGTCTTCATCCTTTAAGCACTTGCGGAGAGGCTCACAGAGATATTCTGTAATCTTGTCCACCCGGATGCAGCCCATGGTTCTGACTGCCAAAGCCCGAATCAATGGATTAGGATCTTCACAGTCCTACAGAAATCAATCATCAACAACTAAGTGTATAGTCTACATAATTCACAAAAGAATATGACATTAATTTAGAAGTTGCATTTTATATCAAACCACAAATCTCCCATTCTATTCTTTTTGTAGCTACAAACGTGCCCTAAAAAGGCCTTTGGCTTATATTCAGATGCAGGAAAAAAATGAGGCATTAGAAAGACTGTTTCAGTCCCCAAGTAACGAGAGACACAGAAAAAAAAGAAAAGTCTAGATCCTACAGCTAAGAAAGCAAACGAGGACATAGAAGTTGGTTAGGGCCTGAAATAAATCCCTAGAGTCAAGCGTCAAAGAGGGCCCTGTAAGCTCCTCATTAATGTGCATTCTCTGTCTCCCTTTCCAATCTGTTTAATCCAATTCTTTATTCCATCATTTGATGCTCAGAGTTCCAGGATTATCATCTCTACATGTTTCACTCAGTTTTTTGGGTCTCTTTATTGCATGTGGTTTGGGTGGAGTGTATCAGCCGGATACCATCTTATCTCCTCCCCCTAATGTGCACTCTTCTTTACTACCAAAGTGCTTCCTAGCTATAGAA